TGTATATATATATATATATATATATATATATACATACACACACACATGCTACATCTATTAGAATAAGATAAAATATGAAAACTGTAAGATGAAAAGAAGTATTTTTATTCTTGTCATGAAAATTACCCTTTACTCAGACTGACTCAAAATCAGACTAACTGATTCAAGTGCTGTTTTACTTTATGGTGTCAACTCAAATTGAGCATAAAGTTTGTGGTGATGCCACAATGGCAGTCACTGGAATAAGCTAGTTATAAAAAGAGTTGAAACTCATATAACATTTTTTGTTTCATGCTGAATTTTGCTACTTGTTGATTGTTTTAGTTTATATGAGGTAGTGGTGAATACATATCATCAAACTTTAATGCTCACAAACTTTAATTGACCTCATATAAGTTCACATTTGGCAAATTTGAAATTTAGTCTGGCTTCTGTCAGCTGCAGGAGTACTTTCCAGATTTGATAGGGTTTCCTAAATATATTTTTTATAATCCAAACATTATCAATATAGATCAGATACTTTACTGCTTAGTACCTTTGTAGTGTTAGCTTCACCATTCTTTAAAATGATGATGATGGGAGTTGCATAACCTTAAATTTGTATACAACTTATCTACATCTGAAAGTAGTGTTTAAGCCATTTATTTCATCAAGCTTCCATTGTTAGTAGCATGTAACTAGATGTACAGTGAAGATCCAGTGTGTTGAGATGGTTATTTGTGCAAGATGATGGAAAAGTGTCAGATTTTAATGGCAGCATTTCTTCTTGTATAAGATGGAAAACTTTTATGTTTTACCTTTTCATAGCTATAACAGATAATATCTTTATTCACGTAAATTTCTGAAAATTTTTGTATTGGTGTTTTGAAGTTAGTATCTTTGTGAACAGATGTAGATAGTAAAGATTTACATTCATTCTCACCTCAGGCTTGTAACCTAATCATAAAGCTTATATCTGCTTGAACATGCTCCTCTGTTATTGCTCTCATGATTGGCCATACTTAAGTAGGAGTGATGCAGAGAATTGTACCAAGTTAGTGTGAAGTTGTAGTTAACCTCCTCCTGGATGTATGTAATGGAAATGATCACTGATATAGCTAATTTAAGTGACATAACAGTGTATTATAGACATACTCCATTCATTCTTTACTAGTTGAAGAATATTATATCTCAATATCTGCTATTTTTGCATATTTTATCCTTATCTCTTCACTCCAGTCTTATCTGGGAATTCCACATGTTCAAAAAGTCAATGCACAGTCACCACAGGTGAGGAATGGCCACTCTGTGGTTGTTGTATAATGCTTCTGCCACATTTTCATGACAGCTTTAATGAAGATGCTTTTTAGGTGGTAAGGTCTTTGTTAAATCTCATTCTTTCCAGAGTTTTGTATGTTGAATCTTACATTGATTACTTCATATAATCTTAGATGAGTGCTTTTTTTTTGCCTTTTCCTAGTGATTGGTTTCTAGGAGCTTTTGTTAAAAATCACCATTTGCTGTTAGCCAAACAAAGTTCCTCTTTGTAGATATACTGGGGTGTGTGTAGCTTACACAACAGGACTAGTAAGTTATTCTAGTCGGATTTTACTATCAGTGATAATTTTTTGTACAGTTTCTCTTTGAAGGTTGGCAGTTCTCTAGCAGTGTCACCACACCTATGATAATTTTTTTCATGGTCTATTTCTCCTCTCTTGATGGTTACCACTGTTCCTGGGTGTTTGGTGTCTGAGAAAATCAATTGCACTTATGTACTTCTGTGACTGGTTTGGCAATGTTATCTATGATAATATGAATTGCATCTCAACCACAAATATATTTATCATATCCCGTCAGGTCTGAATATTCCTTAAATTAAGTGAAAGGCCTCATTGGTACTGAATAAAGCAGATAAAGTGTGGTTGACATATTTATATACACTTTTCTTTAC